TCCTGATGAGGTGACTGCTGTCTGACATTGCCCCATCTCACCCCGCCCCCGACCACGGTGGCAGAAGGACATGTGGGCAGGCCCCTGTCGCATGGTTCTCGTTGCAGACGGTGGAGCACGGCTTCCCGCACCAGCCCAGCGCCCTTGGCTACAGTCCCTCCCTGCACCTTCTGGCCATCGGCACCCGGTCCGGAGCGGTCAAGCTGTATCCTTCCACTCCCGCTCCCACCGTGGGCCTGGAGAGCTGGGGCCGCGGGGCTGCTTAGGTTGGGCCGGACGCGCTGCCCTCTTTGCCCATGGGCTGTTGGGAAGAGGTCAGGGCTTTCCTGAATTACAGCTTGGGAAACGATTTTCTGGGGGCGGAGGACGTGGCTGGCATGACAAGCTGTTTGTATATCCCTTTAGGAGAAGAGGGCTGGTTTGCAGCAGAGGGCTCAGGTGTGTCCCTCGGCCTCCTGGGCTTCTGTGCTACCTCCTCTTTCAGTGCCCTTGCTCTCCTGCTGCTGGGATCGAGCTGGATGGGACGGGGTGGAGCAGGGTGGGGGCCGTGTGGCCTGGCATCATGCCCTGCGGACAGAGGCATGGCCCCAGCATCTTTGCTTTTGGGCCTGGCCAGGTGTGGGACCTCAGAGACTGGTTTTTCTGGGACCACACTGGGGCTAGGGTGCCCAGAGAGAAGGGCCTATTTTAACTCCTCAAAAGGCCAGAGGTCCTGGCTGGGTCATGCCTTCCTGATGCCCCTACTCAGGCTGTGAGGGGAGGGGCTCTTAGGGAGGCCTGGACTGCCGTCCCTCCCACTCCCCTGGCAGCCATTGGCTCCACCCATCCTCAACATAGCAAGCGAGAGCCCCCTTCCGCCATCGGTGCACCCCTACTCCCCACTCCTATGCTTGCGCCATTCTCAGCAGGCAGCTCCAGGGCCGGAGTGCAGGCAGGCACAGGCCAAGGCAGCTAGCCTGGAGCAGAGGCACCTGCAGTTCCCACCCCGGTGCAGGGCAGGGACAATCCTGCCTGGCCTGAGGCTGACATGGCCTTTCATCTGAAGCACTGGTTCCGGTTGACTTGGGGTTCCGGTGGTTTCAGTTAGCCCAGCCGTAGGGGCCCTGAGGCAGGATTGCTCTTGGGCCTCCCCTCTGGCTGGCGAGGGCTGGGCTACAAGTCTTGATTCCCCCCTTCCCCAATCTGCCTGCGCCCCAGGGGGAGCGAGGATGGGCCTCAGGGAGTTGGTTGGGGGGGCGCCACCTTGGGCAGCCCAGCTGGCTCCCCCTCCTGCGAAGCCCTATTCTGCTGTTCCTCTGCCACAGCATGGCCTGGGGTGCTGGGGCTGCAGGATCGGCCTTAGCCGGTTAATCATTGCCAGGCCACGTCCTGGTTACCAGTGCCTGGTGCCAAGACTCGGAGGCCAAGGCTGCAGGGTGGGCCTGCGGGTGCCCGGTGGTCTGTTGAGGCTCAGGTTGTGGGGGTGGCAGCTTAACTGTTGCCAGGATAAGACTTTTCCCTTTGGGGAGTTGCCCCCACCTGCCTGAGTAAGCTCCCCCCCCAGGGGCCAGGTCACTGGCCCAGGGCCCCTGGGCTGGCGCTGTTGCCGGCCCCTCCCCAGCCCAGATGCCTGGACGGTGCCTGCTGTGTGGGTGGGAGCACTGGCCTGGGGCCGAGGGCCCTGATGCTACCCGGTGGGGCTACCCGGTGGGGGCGGTGCACGTGGCCAGTCTTCCCAGGCAGGCTTTTCCTGAGCGTGGCCCAGCTATGGCGCCCCCGGAGTGGAGTTCATGGGCCTGCACCGGGAGAACAACGCCGTGATGCAGATCCACTTCCTGCCAGGCCAGGTAGGGACGTGGGGAGGGCCGGGCGCCTCCTCCATGCCCTTCCTGCCCGCACGTCTACCTGAGGGGAGGTATGAGGAGGCACACTGGGTGACCCTGGGTTTGGTGGTGATGGAAAGGCCTGTGGCCACCTCCCTTGTCCCAGCCGGGGGTTCACAGGCCACCCTCGGAGCAGCTAGGTGCTCTTTAGAACAGTCAGCTCGGCCCAGGCCCCGCAGTGTGTAAAGGCCTCGGCGGAGGGGGCCCTCCCTGGTTAATGAGCCAGCATGCTCCCGCCCCCTGTCCACTGCCTCCCTAGTGCCAGCTGGTCACCTTGCTGGATGACAATAGCCTGCACCTGTGGAGCCTGAAGGTCAAGGGCGGGGTGTCAGAGCTGCAGGAGGACGAGAGCTTCACTCTGCGTGGACCCCCAGGGTAAGGACTCCGTCGTCTTTCTCTGCCGGCCGTGTTGACCTGGCACCCAGCACAGCAGTGAACCCTACACCGCCATGCACAGGTGCTCTGGGTGGCACAGGCAGGGCTGCTGCCACATCCCCAGCTGTCACCCTGGAGTGACAGGGTGACAGCCCATCTCTGCCATCTGTCTCCTGTCTTGGCAGAAAGTAACCAGTACATTTGCCCTGGACCCTGTTTAAGGACCTGAGGGCCCGTTTTCCCCAGGCAGGGCCTTCCTGGGGCTAGAGAGCACCCGGGAACTGGGGGCCCATGGGGTCTCCCTGCCCAGCAGCACCAGCTCACGGGCTGCTGCTCCCGTTGGCAGGGCTGCCCCCAGCGCCACTCAGATCACCGTGGTCCTGCCTCACTCCTCCTGTGAACTGCTCTACCTGGGCACCGAGAGCGGCAACGTGTTCGCGGCGCGGCTGCCGGCCTTTCGCGTGCTGGAGGACCGGACCATCAGCGTGGACGCTGTGCTGCAGCGGTGAGCCGGAGACCCTGCGGCCCTGTTTCGGGACCCCAGGGGGTCGGGGATGACCGTCCCCCTTTGGTCTCTCGTAATGTCTCTCAGGAACATACCATTTCTTTCCTGGGAAGCCCAGGGGGACAGAGGGAGGCTCAGTCCCTGCCTGTCCCTCAAGTCGAAACTCTTCTCACTCCAGAATCTGTGGGGTCTTGGAGGTAATTTGTGCCCTCATTTTAAGGTGAGGAAAGGGGGGCACCAGATGACTGTAATGTCACCAGCTCTTGGTCCAGTGTCCTTGGCACTAATGACATGTGTTCTAAGACCCCAGAGGCCTTGCCATGGGAGGCCGGGACACAGATGTCCCTGTGTGTGCTACGGCAGCTCCTGCTGACCTCGTCTGTGGTGCCATGCTGGGTCCATTGTACACAGATCCATGGCCAAAAAGCTGTGACAGCCCCAAGCCCAAGGCTGGCCGAGATCCTTTCAGAAGCTTGCCCTTCGTGAGGGTGTCTACCGCAGAGGGGAAGGCCAGGTCTGGGTGTGGAGGGGGCGGCAGGGCTCCAGATGGGAGGAGATAAAGGAGTCTGACAGGAGCCTGTGGGGCCCGGGTTGGTAGTGCGGGAATGTTCTATGGTTCCGAGAGGTAGGGAGGAAGCCAGAGTGCTGACCCTGTCCTTGGAGGGCTCTGGACCAGGCCTCGGCCCCAGGTGATGGTGAAGAAGGTCCAGAGCAGGGTATGGCTGGTCCGGGAGGCTTCCTGCCGAGGGCTGAGTCCTCCTGCATACAAACCTCTGTGCCGTCCTGCTCAGCAAGCTGGACCTGGGGCAGCGTGCCCAAGGTCAGAGGTTTGCAGGGCGGCAGGTGGGCAGGGCTGGTGCTCAGTCTGGGGGTGTGGTCTGTGGGCAGGGCAGCAGGAGGACCTGCCCCGGCATGCGCATGTCCAGGCCAGCACCTGGCCTTGTGCTGGTGGGATCTCAGTGGGGAGGGGCCTGGCTGTCCTGAAAAGTCATTCTGCCAATCACAGCCTTGCCTCAGCTTCGCATCAACAGTACTTTATTACTCACTCACTCGTTGACTCATCCCACTGCGAGAAATGCAGGTACTCTCAGCAGGTCTTGATGCCACGATCCGTCCCCCACTGGGCCAGCCTCGGCTCACGGGCAGGCACAGGCCCTGCACTTACAGGGGACCCAGGACACGAAGCTGGGACCTTCCCACAGAGAGCCAGCACGATCGTGTGACAGTTACCGCGGCACCGCCAGCTGGCCCTCCACGCTGATGACTCAGAGTTTTTTAAACACCCAGCCAGCCTTTAGCCTGGCAACTTGACATCTCAGGAGGTCTCCATCCTAAGGGGGAAAGATACACAAAGATAAGAGTGGTCGTCATAGGGCTGGGTTTTCTTATTGTTGTTGTTTTTTAAGAGATTTTTGCTTAGGGTATGTGCACTCGCCAGAGAGACAGAGAGACTGAAAGTAAGAAATCACCCCCTGGGGGGATGGCCATGCTGCAGTTCCTTCTCAGTCTGGGCACGTATACACATGCACCCCGCGTGAGTTTGAAGCCACCGGGGCCACCGGGTCCAGGACTTGAACTGTGGTTAACTATGTGGAAGGCCAGTGACTAACCATTATGCCATCTGCTGGTCCCTATAGGGCTGACAAAATGCTGGAAGCCACCTAGTCGTCTGTGTTCTTCGGAGCTGAACCCAGATGATGTAGAGAGATTTGGTTCGGTTCGATGTGGGCAGAGATGGCCTTGGGTGCAGGCTGCTTCCATTTCCCAGTTGGTATCCTGGGTGTTGGCTCCTGGTCCCGTTCCTGTAGCCACATGGATTCCTTCTGGCTGCGGCACATCCAGACTTCACATCAGCATTC